CTGGGTGGCCGATTTAGTGGAATCCACAGTTTTCCGTAGGAACCAAGCATACTGGTCTTAGCATGCATTCACGACAATAAACATAACAAACAGTCAACGTTAAAGAGGATGTGGAATGCTCGAAGACATTTCCGTCATTGTTCGGGTATATGTAGCCTAAGGTGTGATGAAATAAAAACGACTATAGTTTCTGTCATGAAAAAAGTACAAAAGGTACCTTTGAGAGCTGTTTTTCAGGTCCAGTTTCGACCCGAACGTGCAACTGTGTAAATGTCGTCGTTGCGGGCAGCAAACAAAACACTGTAAATCGTGACGTAATAAACAGGACTCCCGATGCACAGTAGCATACACGAGTCCTGTTTATTAAGTCACGATTTACTGTGTTTTGTTTGCTGCCCGCAACGACGATTTTTACACAGTTGCACGTTCGGGTCGAAACTGGACCTGAAAAACAGCTCCCAAAAGTACCTTTTGTACTCATTTCATGACAGAAACAATAGTCGTTTTTATTTCATCACACCTTAGGCTACATATACCCGAAAAATGACGGAAATGTCTTCGAGCATTCAACAACCTCTTTAAACAATACATATTCACATAAAGTCACCTTTAGTTAAACAAAAATATCAAGCATGAGAATAGGACCTTACCAAAACTAATAGCCTACTGGATGCTCTGCAGACAATATTACAGATACCCAAAGTACAACTCGCAGTGACTAAGTTCCATGACGGCTGGTAGTTTATACCCCCAAAAACCCAGTTTAATTCTGTTCTCTCGATGTTTTACCGGATAACAGTGTAGCACTAAGTTTGTGACTTTGCATCCAGATGAACATAAACCAACAGGGTTCCAAAATTCATTAAGAGAGAAAAAAAACATTAGTATATGAAGCTTATTTTGAATTTTTCTTTCGTTTCATATTAGGCCTATTCACTCATCATTGTTTGTCAGTTTTATATAACAGTTATAAATACACGATGTGCCTTGCTATTTACTCATAATCATTAGTATGTAGTTTGTTTACGAGTTTTTTTTTCCCATTCTATCTTTACTGTGTAACATACCGAAGTACGGTAGATTCAATAACGTATTCGGTGTTTAAAATACAATTTTACACAGTGTTTTGTTTTTATTACTTCATTGGTCATCCGTTATCGGTCATACTTTATCGGTCTTGTATCATAAAGGTTAATGAATTATTGGCCTCGTTTTGAAAACTGGCCACGTTTTGCGACCTTTCAGTTCACTGCTACTTGATCATTTGTTGAACATACATACGTTTGTCATATAGTTGGTTCCATGATATTTTTCTGTTTTCGATTTGACTGCTATTTTGCGTACAAATCCTCCAGTAGAAATTGCGTTTGCTGCAAGATGAAGCTCTTACGTTATCATGATTCCACGATGATGTGAAGACCCCCAAATGATTTAGGCGTATTATTAAACCAAAAATAAAAGAGAAACGATGATTTATTGTGTAAGATATGAAGCAAATCACAGAAAGAGTAGCCAGTTGTTTTACTGTTGCC